GTGGATCAGAACCGACCTGCTGAGGTTCTGGTGGATCAGAACCGACCTGCTGAGGTTCTGGTGGATCAGAACCGACCTGCTGAGGTTCTGGTGGATCAGAACCGACCTGCTGAGGTTCTGGTGGATCAGAACCGACCTGCTGAGGTTCTGAGTGGATCAGAACTGACCCGCTGAGGTTCTGGTGGATCAGAACCATCAGAAATGTGCTGTGAAGGTCCAAAGTGGTTCTGAAGGAAGTTCTGCAGACATCCTGTCTGAAAGCTCCAGTCTCTCCCAGTGGGTCTCCTGGTTCTACAGTCTGAGCTGCAGCTGCTGAGATCTCCTACAGTCATGAATGCAGCATGGATGTCTGAGATCTCCTACAGTCATGAATGCAGCATGGAGGTCTGTGGTTTCCTGAGGTCATGAATGCAGCATGGAGGTCTGAGATCTCCTACGGTCATGAATGCAGCATGGAGGTCTGAGATCTCCTACGGTCATGAATGCAGCATGGAGGTCTGTGGTTTCCTGAGGTCATGAATGCAGCATGAGGTCTGTGGTTTCCTGGAGGCTGATGGTACCATGAAGTTCACATTTATCAGGTGGAATGGAGACAGCAGAGGTCATGACCTTTGACCTGCTGCCTTCTGACTCTCTGAGAAAACCTGCAGCTTCACTAAGAGTGTGAACAGCAGAGCCGGCCCAATGCAGAAGCAAACTAAGCAGCTGCTTGGGGCCCCAAAGCTTCAGGGCCCATAAATACATTTGATCACTGATCACTGATCAATCTGGTTATTGAGAATAAAAATGATGATGCTGAAAACTTAAATGTTGGATCTAAAGGAGAGTTTACTTTATAAAGTGGAAAGAACAATCAGTCAATCAGGGCCAGAGGCCCCTCTGGGTCCCGTCTAGAGCCGCCCCTGTTGGTCCAGCACTGATCCGTCTGTTGGCTCAGCCGGTCCAATCAGAACCTGCAGCTCAACCAGATCAACTCTCTCATCACCTCAGCAGGTCAAAGGTCAGGAAAACGGCAGCTAGCTTCTCTGCAGACCCCACACATTCTGGACACAAACTGATTGGACTTTTACCTTCAGGGCTTGGTTCTGATCCAAACTCCCAAAAATTGGTGTTCTTTATTAACTAGCAAACCGGCCTGACCTTTAACCCTTGAGAGAACCTGGAGTAAAGAGGAAAATGAGAAAAATCAGAACCATCAGAGCAACCCGAAGGCTTCCAGAACCGCAGCAGAACCTGAGCAGAACCTCAGCAGAACCTGAGCAGAACCTCAGCAGAACCTCAGCAGAACCTCAGCAGAACCTCAGCAGAACCTGAGCAGAACCTCAACAGAACCTGAGCAGAACCTCAGCAGAACCTGAGCAGAACCTCAACAGAACCTGAGCAGAACCTGAGCAGAACCTCAACAGAACCTGAGCAGAACCTGAGCAGAACCTCAACAGAACCTGAGCAGAACCTGAACAGAACCTGAGCAGAACCTGAGCAGAACCTCAACAGAACTTGAGCAGAACCTCAACAGAACCTCAACAGAACCTGAGCAGAACCTCAACAGAACTTGAGCAGAACCTCAGCAGAACCTCAAAAGAACCTGATCAGAACCTGAACAGAACCTCAACAGAACCTCAGGCTGGTCTCTTCCATCACATTGATGCAGGAATTCATGCAAAAGGAGCCCAGACCAGAACTGATTATTGATGATCTGTAATAGTTTATTACTGATCAATTGGACCTGATGTAGGTCCAATAATTTAACTCACCAGAACCATCTGGATCCTCTGAGAAGCAGAAACAACCAGAATAAAAAATGGACCCAAAGCTTCTTGACTTATAAAATAAACTAAAATTATCTCCTGAACGTGTTTTTCTCTACAATATATTAATATCAAACCTATTAGTGATGAAGAGGATGATGATCTTATTATTGATGATCTCATTATTGATGATCTCATTATTGATGATCTCATTATTGATCCTGTATCTGAAACAATGGGAATGAAAACCATTAATTATTGAATAAATCCAACAAATTGATAAAACCTTCAGAGTTTATTGTAATAAAATGATGAAACATTAAAGACTCAGAGAGTCTCTGTGTGAGATGGAGGTGAAATCAGTGAACCTGGGCTGTGGTTTACTGCTCTCTATGTCACAAACTGACATCTGATCATCTGGAGGTTTTTGTTCAGGCTCAACGAATCATTTCTCACTGTGGGAACCAGACTTATAACAGCCGCAGTAGTAGGAGGCTGAATGAACGTCTGCAACATTTTCAATCTTCAGTTCACAGCTGTTCTGATTTCTCTCAGCTGAGAAATCATTTTCCTGAGGATGATTGAAAGGTTTATATGTGCTACTATCACTGGTGATAAAGAGAATAGCTCTGAATGTTTCTGTATCTTTCTTCTGGTACCAGGTTACAACATTCCCACCACGGCCCAGTTCCCCCACAGCTGAAGGAGACGCTCTGCCCGGTTCTCCTGGTCAGACTCAGGTCCTTCTGAACCAGCTGTGTTCCCACAGCAGCCAGCGCTGTAGAGACACAGACAGACAGACAGACAGGTGAAGGTTAGTGTGACAGTGTTTGTTCCAGGTGTTGGCTCCTGATTGGCTGGAAACACTCACCTGAACCCAGCCAGCACAGAGCAGCAGCTGGGAGGAAAAGCATTGTGTGCAGTGGTGTTTCCTCTGGTGAACCTGGGGAGAAGTGGCTCTGATGCAGCTGAGGCCAAACAAGGACGAGCTGAGAGATCAGACCAGGGCCACGTGGTTTCTAGCAGAGGAACCAAAGCTCCCATCAGCCCCTGCAGCCCAGAGAAGAGGAAGCTGCTGATTGGACGGTCAGAGGAAGATGCTGATTGGATCATCAGAGGAAGATGCTGATTGGATCCTCCATGTACCTGGTTATTGTATCTGGTCGTAATAATTTGCTCCTCTACTGAAATGATTCTTCATCTCCAGTCTGACGGGAAACTTGACTTGTTTATTGCGAAACCTACAAAGAGACTCGATGAAGATAAAATCCATCTCTGAAGCATCTTCCTTCTGAAATCATGAAGAAAAACAGACGATTCTCAGCTACATAATGACGTCATCAGGTGAATCTGAACCACTGAAGTATTGAATGCACAGAAAATAATCAGTTCATGGATGGAAAATGTTCTGAAGCTGATAGAAACCAAACTAAAGTTATTATATTCAGACATAAAGATCAAAGGATTCTGGCCTTTTGTCTTTTATGTTCAATGTTTGTCTGAATGTTTGTTAAATGTCTTAATGTTCGTCCTACATTTTATTCTGTTAACTGAAGAATTGATTCATGATTAGGAAGCATTGATCATTTATTGTGTTTCATAATAAAAGTCTAAATGTCCCATAGGTTGAATATCAAATATCAATAATCATCAGTTGAACTGATAACAGACTGCCATGTTTCTGCAGCTTCAGAGGATTTTCTGACTGAGGAGGATTTAAAATCTGCAGTCAGTTGGACTGAGGCTCCATGTCTCCAGCTGGTGGCTCTTTGTCCCCCACTGACTCTGTTACCCCAAAACAGGAAGAAACAGGAAGTTTAATGAGCTGCAAACGTTTCAAAGAAGTCCCATTAATTCATGAAATGTTACCTGGAACATAAATTATAACATATCTTATAGAGAACAACCACCTGATACCTAACAGAGCAGATGCTGCATGAGGATATTCTGCATCTGTTAGTATTTTTATCAGCCCTTTAATTTTGCTGCATGGCTGCAATAAAAGTAATAAATTCTGTTCATCTCTGAGTCCAGAGGGAATAAATCTAAATCCAGGCTGTTTTCAATGAGTTCCTCTGTTTGTGACACGTCCAGATTACATGAGATCTGCATGACGACTATTTATGATTCAGGGAGAATCGTCAACTTAACTTTAAAATGACAGAAACATAAACTCGTGAAGTCTGAAAACAATAATGAAACCAGAAACCTTCAGAGTTTATTGTAATAAAATGATGAAACATTAAAGACTCAGAGAGTCTCTGTGTGAGATGGAGGTGAAATCAGTGAACCTGGGCTGTGGTTTACTGCTCTCTATGTCACAAACTGACATCTGATCATCTGGAGGTTTTTGTTCAGGCTCAACGAATCATTTCTCACTGTGGGAACCAGAGATCCTACAGCCGCAGTAGTAGGAGGCTGAATGAACGTCTGCAACATTTTCAATCTTCAGTTCACAGCCGTTCTCAATTTTCCCAGAGGAGAAATCATCTTTCTGAGGATGATTGTACCTGTGCTCAATTGCACAGCTACTTTTACGGTAACGAAAAATGATCTTAAATGTTTCATTATCTTTCTTCTGGTACCAGTATGTCTCATCATCATAACGACACGGCCCAGTCTCACAGCTGAAGGAGACGCTCTGCCCGGTTCTCCTGGTCAGACTCAGGTCCTTCTGAACCAGCTGTGTTCCCACAGCAGCCAGCGCTGTAGAGACACAGACAGACAGACAGGTGAAGGTTAGTGTGACAGTGTTTGTTCCAGGTGTTGGCTCCTGATTGGCTGGAAACACTCACCTGAACCCAGCCAGCACAGAGCAGCAGCTGGGAGGAAAAGCATTGTGTGCAGTGGTGTTTCCTCTGGTGAACCTGGGGAGAAGTGGCTCTGATGCAGCTGAGGCCAAACAAGGACGAGCTGAGAGATCAGACCAGGGCCACGTGGTTTCTAGCAGAGGAACCAAAGCTCCCATCAGCCCCTGCAGCCCAGAGAAGAGGAAGATTAATTTTGTTTTTTAAAATAGAAGATTAGATGTTTGAAAAAATGATTTTGAAAAGGAAGAATTTCAACAGATTCATATTTCTGTTTATAAACATGAAATAATATGAGTTCATGTGAATAAAGTTCAGCAGCTCTGTTGTTGCTGCCAGGCTGCAGTTCCCCTGCAGGCCAGCAGGGGGCGGAAACGGACCAATCAGCTGCTGAGTCTCAGTTTGACCCCAGCGGAAGGAAAACAGAGCAGCTCCTTCCGCTGGTTGCTTCGTGTTTGAGCTGATATTTCAGTCACCATGTGTTCAGTTCAGCAGCTGAGGGATTTTATCAGAGAGAGACTAACTGCTGCTGCGGAGGAAATCTTCACTCAGGTCGAAAAAACCATCATTAGCTACGAGGAGGAGATTAAAGTTCTGGAAACCTGCAGGAATGAAGCTCAGATAAAAACAACCGGTATGGAGCTTCAACACTGACTGATAGTTTATAACCTGAAGTTTTTTATCTTCGGTTCTGCTTTAGGTTTTAACCCGGAACTCGGAGGTTTTTGCTGTTTCTGCTTATATTCCTTCAACAATATAATATATGATTCAGACTGATTGATCTTATGGATCTAAAATGACAACATGATCCGGAGCTTCCTGTGTCCAGAAAAGTTCTGTTTATTATTCCAGTTTGACTGGACTGGTGCTCCAAAGTTTCAGATGGAAGGAAAGTTTCCTTTTCATTTCGGGGTTTCAGAGTCTGGGGGAAGAGAGGAGTGGACCGGAACCGAGCTGCTGGATCCAAACCTGTCTGACTATCAGACTCTGTTTTTGGATTCCAGGTCTGGTTTAAAGATCTTTGCTCTATAAAAACATGTAAATACAACCTTCAGCTGAACAGACTGATTAAATACATTATCAATCAACATTGAGCTGCTAAAAATATATCAACGATCTGATATATTTAAACATGTTTAATTTTGAGAAAGGCTGATTGGATGCAGAGGCAGCTATTTATTAATATTTTCTTTCTTTAGGTATAACATTCATGATCTTCAAATTGGCCAAAGTTAAAACGAGCTCAACTTTCCTCCTGCAGGCAAACAGGCAATAAAATCTGCTGTTATTAACAGGAGGAACCAGAAGACCAGCTTTAACTTCTGATCTGTTGTTCCTTCAGATCCGGACCGAGATGAACCAGAACCTCTGCAGATTCAACAGGAGGAACCAGAACTCCCACTGATTGAAGTGGGCCTGGAAGAACTTGGACCAACCGAACGAGACCAGAAGGAACCGGTACCTGGAGGAACCACAGGAGAGATGACACAACCAGAACCAGCGCAGATTAAAGATGAACTTACAGAACCACAGCGGCTGGCCGACCCGGTGTCCAACAGCCAGGAGGGACAGCGGCTGGAACTGAAGGAGGAGACGTCTGTGGACCTGCTGGGTTACCAGCAAACTGAAGCAGAACCAACCGCTGAGCAGCTTTGTTATGGTTCTGAACCTCAGACCCAAAGCTCAGAAGGAAACGTCTCCACTGTGTCCCAGAGTTTGTCTCTTAGAAACTGTGAAAAAGTCTTTAACTCCAGAAACAATCTGGATCAGCATCGCAGAACTCACACAGGCGAGCGGCCATTTTCCTGTCCAACATGTGGGAAGAGTTTGTCCAAAAGCAGCAAATTGAAGGTCCACATGAGATCCCACACAGGAGAGAGGCCTTTCATCTGCAGCATCTGCGGCAAAGCTTTGAGTTCAAACAGACATCTGACCGATCACATGGTCACCCACTCCAGCCGGAGGCCCTTCGGTTGCTCAGTGTGTGGAAAAACGTTTTGTCATGAGAGTTCCTTCCAGTACCACATGAAAGGCCACAACGGAGACAAGCCGCATTCTTGTGACACGTGTGGAAAAAGGTTTATTCTCAGTTCCAGTCTGCTGAGGCACATGAGAACCCACACAGGAGAGAGGCCTTTCTGCTGCGCCACATGTGGGAAACGGTTCGCTCAGAGCAGCAACCTGGGTGTTCACAGGAGGATCCACACGGGAGAGAAGCCGTACTCCTGCCCAACGTGTGCAGAGAGTTTCTGTCGTAGAGCAGGTCTGCTCAGGCACATGCAGACCCACAAGACCGGCTGAAAACCCAACAACATTTCTCCTAAAGTGGATTTATTTCACAGTCAATCGACAGCTTTTGGTTCCTGCTGCTCAAAGTCACATTACAAATCACCAAACTCTGGAAGAGGTTCTCCCATTTATCCTGCACAACTGTAAAAACAAGATTTTAGTCTCAGAAGAGGAAATATTTCAGATTTGGGTTCGTTTGAGATTTGAACCAACAGGGGAAACAAACTGATCCGTTTAAAGCAGAGCAAACTGACCAGGTGTGAATACACCTTTAAGGTTTTAAAGACAACAGGTGACGCAATATAAGAATCATTAACTAGAGTCTGTTTTCTGCCGCACTGTTCAGTGCATATCTCACCCTGGCTTAATTAAATATCATATTGACAGCAGTCAGAGTGGGCCATGCTTACTGAGCACCAGCAGCTCCTGCTGGTCCAGAGGTCAGAACTGCTGTCAGCAGGAACTCAAGGATGTAGGGCAGCAGCCAGACAAACAGCTGGCAGACAGCTGGCAAACAGCTGGCAGACAGCTGGCAAACAGCTGGCAAACAGCTGGCAGACAGCTGGCAAACAGCTGGCAGACAGCTGGCAAACAGCTGGCAAACAGCTGGCAAACAGCTGGCAGATCCTTACATAAAACTCTGGAGTTTAAAATAAGGAAGATATTGGGTCACATTCAGAAGGACAGGAGCTGATCTCTGATCTTCCTGCAGTTTGTGTTTAAATCTGTCAGAGGTTAAATGAACACTGAAATATTATTTCTGACTCGGTTCTTAACTCCAGCTGTTGGTCCTGATGAGAAATCAGCTGATTGGAAACACAAACCGCTGCTTGTTTCAAATAATAATATTTAGAATAGAAATGCAGAGCAGGATGTTCCTCATCACTGGTTCCTCCCTCCTTATGTTTCATATCCAGAAATAAAACATTCGTAAACAGCCTTTAGTTTCTGCAGTTGAATCATTAATTCTGAGGATGAATAATAATCTGTTATAATCAGAAAACTCCTTTTCACACCCATTTTCCTTTAGTTTGGCTCAAATAAAACAGATTATGACCTTTGATCAAATATGGCTCAGTGACCTGCTGCTGGCAGATACATCATATAATAAAGGTATGAAAGGGTGAAATGATCTCCTTCCACTCAGCAGGTGGATCTGATCTGCAACAAATAGAAAGATACAGAAAACACCTTCAGCCCTCTGTAAAGTAAGGTGGAGGTTCTGTAGTGCTGTGGGCCTGTTCCTCTGCCTGGTTAGATTCATTTATTGTGATCTCTGCAGTATAACTACAACACGGATCTGAAAACTGCTTCTGGATGCTATGAATGACTGATATATTTAATATCTTTCCTACTTGAATAAATGAAAATGTATTTTGCTAAATGATCAGGTGATCATGTTGGTGGCTTCCAGCCTCTTGGTTGGAGATCTGATGATTTTTGTATCCAACAATTGTTGCATCAACATTGATTTGTTTTGACATTAATTGCTGTTTTTTACTTGACATTTTGCTTTAATAATCTCATAAATGTTCCACTGAATCCTCAGATGGTTTCTGGACTGTTATGTTGAGAAATGGAAAATGTTGCTATCCCTGTAATAAATAATTACAATTCAAGAAAATATGTTTGAAAATCAACACTGCGATTGGAATGAGCACCTCAACCAAATATGACTCCAGTGTTTCAAACCTGACAGCATTTTGCAGCTGAGCTTCAGTCAGTGAAGCTTGAAGAGATCAAGACTCGGTTTTGCTCTGGAACCATAATCCATCACATCATGTCAGTTTAAATACATCAGAACCAGAGGAGGCGGTTCTGATGGCAGACATCGGGTCACGCAGCTCCTGCCAGGTCTGTCTGGTTCTGTCCAGAGATGGTTCTGTTCTCTAAGACCGGTTGACCCAAAGTTGGTTTCATCAAAACAACGTACAGTTTCCCATTATCTTTCTCTGGATGAGTGAAAACGATCTTTAGTTGAGTTTCTTTAATGTTCTTGAAAAGATGCTTCAGCAGAAACATGAAGCCTGAAGAGGCTGAGATTAAACTCTGGCTTCTCATGAAACATGACGAGACTTTTAGCTAAGAATGGAAACATCATTCCAAGTGAAAATCATCCACAGGTTGGAGGTATGGCTGAATACATCAAATACATTCTAATTAAATGTCTGGTTTATTGAACAAAAACCATAAATAACAAGATTAACTACAAAGAATAATAAGCTTTACATCAGATGTTAGCCATCAGTGCTAAACAGCTTTACAGAAAACAATACAAGAGTTTATTCAGTAAACATAAGAGAGTAAATGACTCTCTTATTTAGACCAGGTGTTCAAGGTGGCCCCCTGCAGGGCCGACGTCCTGCATGTTTCACTCCCCCTGGTGGAAGAGAGTAAAACCTCATCAGCAGGTCAATGTTCATCTGAAGATCCATCATTTGATCCAGGAAGAGAAAAAACCTGCAGGATGCCGGCGGTCCATGACCCACTTCAGAACCACTTCAGAACCACTTCAGAACCATTTCAGAACCACTGCTTTACAAAGTCCAAACACTGGAATGATAAGTTCTGGTAGAACTTCCAGTTCCCACCATCCAGTCTGGGTTCTCCAGAACCTGTCTAAACTACACTTAACTCCTGATGACAATTATGATGTTGACTGATCAATTATTGCTGTTATCTCTGTTTTAAAGTATTTTTCTGTTTCACGTCGTAACGTTTTTAAATTTCATCTAATTTTTAATTGTTTTAAAGTCGTAAATGAAAACGCTGATTGTCCAAATATTATTCATCTTTCAGGAATCATCCACCACAATTTCAACAGTGATCACAAAAATGTTCACTTTGGTGAAAATGAGTAAATTATCAGATGTTATTTAATCCATTAGTGTGGATTACAGCTGCCTTCATTTTAAACAATCAGTCGTCTTCAGTCTCCTGGTCTTTATGTGACTTTTTATGGCTGTACATTCCATTGGCTGTGCTGAATTTAATTCCACATACTGTACAGGAGAAAGGTTTCTCACCTGTGTGAACCCACATGTGAGCTTTGAGGGAAATTTTGCGGGCGAATATTTTACCACATGTTGGACAGGAGAAGAGTTTCTCTCTGTTGTGTTTCCTCAGGTGGGAGTTCAATGAGCTCAGCAGGGTGAAACCTATCCCACATATTTCACAAGTAAATGATTTCTCTCTTGAGTGGGTGCTCATGTGATTATTCAGACGCCGAAGGTCAACACAACCTCTGCCACATATTGTGCAATAAAAAGGCCACTGACCTGTGTGGACGCTGATGTGGCCCTTTAAATGAGTTTTTGAGAGAAACTTTTCCCACATATTGTACAAACAAATGGCTTTAAGCCTAAATGCATTCTGTGATGCACCTGAGAATTATACTTTGATTTAAAGGTTTTTCCACAAACATCACATGTTAAGGATGAGTAGTTCTGACAGAGTTCTTTAGTGTTTCGTTTTGCTTCCTGGAAATCCTGATGACCGGATTTCTCCAGACGGCTAACCGGCTCCGGCTGCTCTCCAGCCTCCGGTTCATTTTTAATCTGTGAAGCTTCTGGTTCCTCCTGGTCCAGACTGGAGGTTCCCTCAAACCGGTTTGGACCTTCTGCATCGGATCCTTCTCATCCCTGCAGACATGTTGCTGTAGGACGTCTGCAAAAGAATAAAAACACTATCAGTTAATATTATATTCAGGGAAACGACCTGAAAACATAGTTCTAAAAATAACAAGAGATGCACGAAGTAAAATCCATGTTTTCAATAATTAAAACGCATCAGGATGAACAAAAGGCTTTCAGCTGTTATGAAAATACTGCAAAGACGAAAAATCAACTTGAAATAAATTTTCCTTTGCATCACAGCCTTGAACTGGCCTCTGTCTCTTTAAGAAGTCAGAAATAGTAGGAGTCGTTGTTTCCTTTATTTCCTGATTTATTTCTCAGACAAATAAAACCAAGTGTAAAAAATAGAAACCAACAGAATATCTAACATTTTCATACCGTTTCCATAACTTCATCTGAAAGCAAAGGTTGTAGCTGAAACCTGCTTTTTATAATAACTCATTTGTATCATTAATTTATTGTAATTTGCTGTCAGTTGTGTGTTTGTTTGTGTCAATTGTTTTTTCTTTTTTTTACCATTGACCAGCAGATTATAGATGACAATCAGTCCTTGTGGATAATCTGGTATATTTAAAAAGTTGTTTTAATGTTTAAACTGTCTCATTATTCTGTTGGGAGCGTCCTTAGTTTAAAGGATCTTTGCAGTTTTCCAGTTTGATCAGATTAGAAGAGCATCAGGACTGAATGCTCCATGTTTGGTTCTGGGATTAAACATTCTAATCATTTCTCTCAATAATAAGCTGATATATTTAGAATAGAATAGCATTTATTGTCATTGAACAGGATTCAACGAAATTTCTATTGCAACTCCCGTGCAAAAAGTCAAATATATACAATATTAAATAAACAAACACACAATAATAATAATAATATATACAACTAAAATTAACTAAAGGCAAATTTGCTCTGCAGTGTAATTTGTTGTAAATAAACTGACCTGAATAATGAATCCTATAATGTGAGTCAATTTTCTCTTTCCATTGTTAATATAGTTTGTAAAATAATCTTCAGTTCAGCCCAGTTTAGCAGCAGACGGATCTCTGTCTGCAGTGAAAACATTTCATCCAGACCCACCAGAACTTTGTCTCTGCAGCTCCGAACCGACTCTGTGTAGCTTAATGTCTGGTTTCCAGCTGATCCCCATCATCCTGCGCTGAGCATCGAGCTCTTCCTCGTAGCTAATGATGGTTTTTTCAACCTGAGTGAAGATTTCCTCCGCAGCAGCAATTAGTCTCTCTCTGATAAACTCTCTGAGATGCTGAACTGAACACATGTTTGCTGAAATACCAGCAGAAACACGATAAAACAACCGTTTACTAACTTTCCTCTAATGGCGGATCCTCTGACTCCAGCTGCTGCTTGAGCCTTTTTTCTTCTACTTCCGCTGAGGGTCACCTGAGGTCCACTTCCGCCGCCTGCTGGGCTGGAAGGGAACAGCCCGGATTTTAGCCTGGGCCTATAGAGGCTGCAGCCCAGGGCCCCGGAGCTTTGGGGGCCCCGAATGATGCTTTGTGTTTCTGTGAATGAATAAGGTCAGAAAGCCTCTTTGCCAGTTTTATTACTGGCAAAGAGGAATTTGTTGTTGAAAAACTGTCTGCTTTGTTTTGACAAACGTCCATCATCAATGCTTGAATATTATTGGTCCAAGTTTGGTGTCTGTCGTTTTGAGGACGAGCTTCAGAGAGTCATTTCGCACTATGGAGGACAACAAAGAAAGTATGACGCAGAGCACTGGAACAACAACAAAAAAAATGTGACAGTGATGTGATGAAGAAAATATTAACTCTCATATTAACATGGAACATCGTCACTCTCCGCTTCCATTGCAAAGAGAGCTGAGGCTGATTTTTAGAATTCTGTAGGTAGATAATGCTGGTCTCATGGTTATGCAGTTGTGCCTAACATGCTGAAACTGTCTTTTCTGTGCATGTGGTCACTTCCTACAAGATATGGTCAGAGTGTACAGGTTATGTTGAGCCTGTTATGTTTAACTTTTTGTAAACCATGTTGTCATACAGACTGATGCGGTGATTTGAAATGTGATGTCAATGACTGGATTGTACCACATCTAACCCGTCATGCAGGTTCCTGTTTGTTTTACTTATGTTTTTATTTATTTATTGAAAAGAAATGTAAATATAAAATAATAATAATTAAAAACAAACACTGTATAATTATGTTACTGTAATATAATGTACTTTCCCAAAAAAGAGTTTATGACTCAACATTCCTGTTAGATATAAACGACTTATTCATTGTCAGGTTTGTAATGTATCGTCACTGATTTACTGTTTACTGGGCTTCAGTATCGATCAAATTAATACAATAATGAAAGATCTGTATGATCAGAACTGAACGAGAAGAACAGTTCAGCGGTGTTTGGGTTATTTGGTGTGTGAGAGAGTGTGTCAATGACAGGTTTTAAAGTTTGGTCCATTTACTTGTATCAGCTCGCTGGCACATTCAATATGGCGGACGCTGTGACGCATCGCAGGCGTCTTCGTGTTTAACGTGACTCTCAGCGGAAGTAAAACCAAACGGCTCCAGCAGCTGGTGTTGCGTTTCAGCTAAATATTCCGCAACAATGCCTTCAGTTCAGCAGCTGAGAGATTTTATCAGAGAGCGACTAACTGCTGCTGCTGAAGAAATATTCATCCAGGTAGAAAAAACCATCGTCCGCCATGAGCAGGACATTTTGCTGCTGGAAAAATGCTGGAAACCTCAAATAAAACTCACCAGAATCGGTAAAAGCTACAGAGGCCAGCTAGTTCAGACCCAGAAAGTAAAATATAAATAAATACATGAAAATTAGTCGTTTGTCGGGATTTTCTCCCCGTTACCATGACAACTGTTAGCAACCGTCGAGTTGCTAGCTTTAGCAGCTAACCATGTAGCTAACTTTGTGTTACCGGG